TTTCCAATCTTAACACTCTTTTCTTTTCTCTTTTTTTGCTTTTTGAAAGCCTGATAAATTTTCTTATTTCTAAAGATCTCTTACTCAAATTTTCATTGACAGTATTTATGGGTTTTATTGTTGAACAACGTCGTTTTTTTTTTTTTTTTAATTAGTGCCAGACCCTGGGAAAACCTCACCCTAACTCGTCTTAATTCTTCCTGCGGGCAGAGAAACGCGCGTCCCGCAGCACTAATAGTGAGGACCTACTGGCAGACTAGCCTTTGACCCTGTAAACCCTAAAAGTGACCAGCATCTAATTTCTCCTTACAATAACACTGCTAAACCATTTATTAATATCATGAGAATGAAGGAAATGATCGCCGACCTAAGAAGCTTTGATCTTCAAAGAAATTCTCCTTGTCAGTACCGAAAAGATATATAGAGAAGAGTATTGAGAATATGGACACTGATGTTAGGGTGTAAAGGGTTGAACTTCAAGCAAATGAAACTTCCTAAAACAATGGCCTTGGTTAATAATAGCGACGATTGTACACTGTACTTTTAATCATCTCATGGTCGTAATTTTTGTGTTCTTTCCTAGACCTACTCATCGTCCTTTTCACAGTTGTGGACTTTCTGCTGCCGCTGATCGTGCAGAATGTAGGTTCCTTCGATGTGGCAGCCATCTTTAGGCTACTGCGCATGTTTAGAGCTATCAGGGCGCTGAGAGCATTGCGGGTGTTACGAACCATCAGGTAAAGATTTGGTGGGGTTTACTTCTGTGTGGTGTGTCCCTTTGGCATTTGTACGAGCGTTGTTGTTCTATGCAATCTTTAAGCAAAAGCGACACTACTCTTTTAATCTCCTAAGTGCCCATCGTTGTGGCGCGTTCTGCAATACAAGGGGAGGTGGGGGGAAGGGTAGTGTGTTTGGTTAAAATCTTAGATTACGGCTATGACAGGCCTTGCGCGAAGAAGCTCGGCCCCAGAGAAAAAGAGCTTTGAGTATGACCTTAACGGAGACACATTGAAAATCTTCGCTCAATCCCTACTGTAACTTTGGCAAGACCATTTGCGACTTCAACCAAAATTACCGCTACATTGTCTGGAATACATGGGTTAAGAGCATATTAATCAAACTCCATGTAAGAGTGGGACGGAACGAGGATTAAAAAAACCTCAACAACAATATTAGTATTTTACAGAACTGCGACTTAAAGTTTATTACTGAGAAATTTCTAAAACTTTAGAAAACAAGTCTATGATATAACCAAATGATACGGAATCATGACACACTGTTCTGCGATGATCTTTCAGTAAATCTTTTTGATTTAGAGGCCTGAATGTTTTTCTTTCAAGGTTTTTGAAGAATCTACAAGTTATCATGACAACGATCCTAAAATCGTTCAGGGCGCTGAGTACGATCGTTATGCTACAGGGACTCTTCCTTTGTATCCTTTGACTCCTGTTATAATTATTTGTACAGCAAATTTTTCTCGAGGCTTTACGGCTTGCCTTATCGACTACTTTTATTCTCTCTCCGACCATTTTCTGCGTAGCCCAGGCAGCTGGGTGTTTTGTTGGAGGTTTCATCGGCGGAGCTGCTAAAATTAGCGATAGACCAAGCTCAGCTTCACTGTTTCAGCGCCCATGCCTCTTTCTTTTTTCTCGTTTTAACAACATGGCTAAAAACCGCTCGCCACGACGGCCATCCTCTTTAACACAGCACGGTTTCAAGCAGAGTTATTCTCTTCAGTACTAGATAAAAGCACTTTATTTCTTCCGTGGAATAGGCCTAAACTATTTTTTGGTTACACTAGCGTAATCTCATTTGCAGAATCTGTTACTGCAATGGATTCCTAACAATGTGGTCTATAGATATGTTTGCGGTGATAGGTCGCGGGTTATTTTATGAAGTAGCTCCCGCCAGGTTTGGTACTCTGGGGAAGGCGTTCTTCACACTCTTCCAGCTCATTACTTTGGACGATTGGTTCTATATGTACAGTGATGTTGTGGCGAGGAATCCAGGTGGGCTAATTTTTTTTTTCTCAGCTCTTTTGACCGCGTTCTGAATAGGAAAATGTATGTGCCGCTAATTGGACGCCATCTCCTCGTGCAAAAATTTGATTCCTTTCAAATCTTTTGCAACAACTTTTTTTTTCTCATTTTAATATCTTTTGCTATTTATTCCTTGATATAATTTTTTGATATCTATCTTTTGTCTCGTCTGTGTGTCCACTATTCCATCCGTCCGCTTGTTCAACTATTCATTTCATATTTATGTATGCATTTTGTTCATTCATTCGTTATTTCGGTCAGTCACTCATGTTTTTATCATATCTTCTTTCTCCATACAATGTTCTTAGCACGTGATCCTGAAATCAAAGCATAACTGTTATTCCATTGATGAACACTTCTGATTAATATTCAGACGCGTTTACTCTTAACGTTGCAAATTTGTTCTCCGAGTAATACGTATTGAACAAGTTTGTGATAAAAACAAACATAAACCAAAACCAAAATTAACAGCGGTCTTCCACCCCCTTTAAGATCACTCATTGCTGTCTGTTTAGCGTGCGAGCAGGCCCTCTGTTTGGGTTTCGCCTTTCAGCAAACCCACCTGTTATAATCGACAGCCGCTTCTGGAAAAAGTTGTTAAAATACCTGAATAACTTGTCATTCAGATGAAAGGTGTCCAAAGGGGCCCGCATACTGTAATACTGCTATTGACTTAAGCTCAAAGTGGGTAAATTCTTTTTGTCCTGTTCTATTTCTGGTAGGTTATGGTTACATCATCTTTTATCTCATCGTCTACATCGTCCTGGAGAATTTTATCTTTATGAAGTAAGAATTTTCTGTTGTTCCTGTTGATGTTATTGGTGTTGTTGTTGCTGCAGTTGACAGGGACCTTATTACAAGATCTCTCTCAAGAAAGGCTACGTTAAGCGAAGAAGTTTAGAACTAGTGGATGACTCAAGTGAGTTATTGAACTTCCATTTTCCTCTAATTCCTCATTTCTCTTAGTCTGTTCGTGGCAGTTCTGGTGGATAACTTTCAGCGAACCATTACAGCCGTGGAAAACAAGCCTCACAAGAAAAACAGCGGGATTCACTTTAAGAGTGTCTTTGAAGACGTAAGATCGGAAGAAAACTTTGTTGAAATGCGATCTATGAGTCGGAAGTGTAACAACAGATCTCATAGTACCAGTATAAGCAGTACATTGATCCCGTATCTGTTCTTTCCAAAGTCCTTGATAATTTTAGGAATCCTTAGGCTGTTTGTTTCTATCAAAGACAAAGAATTCCATTTTTTCATTTATTTTAAGGTATTATCAAAGAAACCCAAAATTAATCGGAAACGGGATTAAATGGATTAAATTAAGTTTTTACGTCCAATGGTTTGTAACGGAAAATCACTCATTTTCTCTTTTTCTAATCCTTTTATTAGGTAAAGTCAGGCGAAGATGGAAGTGCATACTCTTTTTCGGACAATTCTTTTTCCGAATTTGAAGGTAAAAGACATAACTGGGGAAAAATTAGTCGGGGTTGTGTGGGACCCGGGGAGGTCATAGTGCCCCAGTGGTCAGAGCGCTGGTCTCCAGGCCGAGAGGTCTGGGTTCGAGACCTGTCAGGGTCATTGTGTAGTATTTTAAGGCAATACATTTTACTTTCACCATGGTCACCATGCCTCTCTCCTCCCAGGAGTTTAGATGGGTACCGGCGAATTGTCAGGGCTGCGTGATGAAATGCTGGACGATCACCTTGCGATTGACTGGCATCTTACTCAGGCGGGAGTATTAATGGTCAGTCGCTTCCTAACCGGGATAAGCCTCCTGGCAAGACCTAACCTACCTTTGAGGGAGTCCACCGAAGAAGTTGCAGTGGACCTTGAGTTAGAATTGAAAAAAGCGTTACAAGGGTCTGATTGGCTCTGTTACACTTGAACGCTCTCGTAAAGTTTACAGCAAATGGGCACCGTCTTAATTTTCACCATTCTCATAAGCTGTGGTGGAAATATTATCAAATTTTGTGGTCAATGAGAGATTTGTTTTCTTCTCTTTACTGTTGGTTGATATGTGGTTGAAGGGAAACGTGGAAGTGAATGTTTAATATCATTGTTCTAGTAGACGAGGAGGAGGAAGAAGACGCCGACATCGTGATTGCGAAAAAAGTGGAGGACTACTATCCTAAAAATAAATTCTCTGACAGGTATGAACAAGGCACAAGTTCCCAGTCTTCTTGCGTTAACCCTTTCACTCCTGGGATTTGTGTACAATTGATTTCTCCCTGGCATGATATCAGCTTCATTTCCAACAGAAAGGTGAAGTCAGCAGTGAAAAAGATCAACACGAGAATATTGTGTGATCATCTGATCAAACACCCAATTCTTAATATTACCGCTAGAGCAACTCATCCCCTCCATTTACGTCATCCCATATTTTATTGCTTTCTAGGGAACGAGCTTTCATCGCCGAATATTTTACGCTGCTCGCCTCTTTGGAATACAACGTGCAAGAGATGCACAGAGTACAACAGCTGGCAAACGATCTCGTGGATATTACAGTCTCGGTAAACAAATACTCTTTTCTAAAGAATAAAGGACCTTTCATTATTCAAAGCCTTGTTTAAGATAAGAGGAGGGGAGGGGGGGCGGGGGAGGGGGCTCTGGAGGATTTTAGTAGTATCACATTGAAATAATAGAATATTAATATTAACCTGATCCCCATAGGGCCGTGTGATAAATGTATGGAAACCCCCTCCCCCCACCTCTCATTGACAGTTGATGTCCTATAGTTCCCCTTTGACATCCTCCGTTCCTCCATTTCCCCCGCCCCCGCCCCTCCCTCATCTTCCCTAGGCGATTAAAAAATGACTGGTACCTTATGCTTGGAGCTAAGCTTTAAATGCAGAGGCAGGTTATTTAAATCTTAACAAATATTAGTGTTGCTATGGGAGTTTTCTTGTCTTCCTTTTTTCTTCTTTTTTTCCTCAACAACGTTTCCTTAATAACGTTAACATGTCAGTCGCAGAAATATTCTCAAAAAGATACGAGGCCATGTGCGATAAACAAATGTGCGTCGATCAATTCGAAGCTTCAATATCTTCGGCAACTCCTGAGACATTTTAACTTCTGTTGATTGGTTTGTTCAAATGATCCACCCAATATTTTGTAATAGGCAACATCAGCGACTGTGACTCTTTACGCATTTTCCAAGCTTAGTAACCTAGACCTTGTAGACCTTTTTTTTTTTAGCCATTTGCTCACGAAAATGAACTACTTCTCAATATGTAAAAGTAATGATCCATTAAATATTTTTGCGCGCGCGACTGGTCTAAACGCATCACGTGACCGAATATGGGGGGGGGGGGGTATCTGAGGACCAACCCTACGTCCACTACGATAAGCCTTCGTTTAATATTTAATTCAAGGTAAGACAGCGTTTTGTATTTGATACAGAAGGGAAGTATTTATTCGTTTGTCATGTCGTATCAGAGAACACTTTTAAGTGTTTTCTGATACAACTAAAAAAGAAAACATCCTACTCAGCAAATAGTAAGCTGTTCGTAAACATTTTTTCACGCGCGTTGCAAAATCTTTGAAGGATAATAATTACAACAGCCTCTATTTTGCGCAAGAATATGCTTGTATATTTGTCCTTGGACATTGTTTGTTCCTTGAAGCACACAGTTTTCCCCGAGCTTCGCTGTCGGATAACTGTTCGCATCTTGAAATAGGATAATGTCTGCGGACAAATATCCGTGGATATTTTCACGCCAAATAGAGGTCATAGTTTTTACATAACACTTGTATTATCCTGGAAAAACCTGGAACTTCCGATTCAAATTCCCAGGTACGGTTCAAATGCTCCATCTCTGGGCACGGACGACAGTCGAATGCCCGTTGGTTTCCTGGGGGAGGGGCGGAAGGGGAGACGCAGCTTCGAATTGATCGGTGCATTAAGTCTTAACAAATATGAAGCATTTATATTTGACCAGTTTAATCTCTGAGTGATCGATTTTTCTAGATACCTGATGTACCAGAGGAGTTAATCTGAAGAAGATTGGTGAACGGAGGCGGTTACAGATTTCCCGTCCCCTCTAAAGTTACTTTTGGGCTTAGTAAATTGTTAAATTCTGTAACTTTAACTTAATTTTCTGTATTTATCAAGAAAGCCATTACTGGTTAAATGATATTACACTTTCACGAAAGTGCGTTAACAGAGGCAAGTAAACATATTGATGAATGTTGTGGAAATCACTCGCAGGTCAAATCCTCACACAGTCATTCATTTACAGCAGCGTCCGTTCCTAGGTTAGTGGGTCATTCTGAGAACTTATGCCTTTTGAAATCCACTTGCCAAATCGATCACATTTCTTAATTCTTCGTTGTGTCACTTTCATGCGGTGACATTGGAAGCATTTCTACCCAAACAAATCAAGGAGAGGGCAGATTGTACTATCTTGGCCTTTTTCCACCTCTCCCTTTTGATCTAAAATTTGTTCTCCGATTAAAATTGGACTTTTTTCGCGGACCTTTTCTTCCGCCCCTTCCACGACCCCGATTTCTTCTCTTTGTATTCCAGTTTTTTCCCGCCTTTTTCTCTTCCCATTTAATTTCCTTGTTGTTGGCGCTCCCTCGTTTGACATCACAAGTGCCGCCTCTTGACGCTTTGGAATTTTCAAGCAGATGGGCTAACTAGGAAAAATATTAAAAAAACAAACAAACAATTACAATTTAAAAAAGACCGCATCGCAGAGGAGCAATTTTCCATCGAGTGTCAAAAGAAATTGGCATTGCTTTGTTTTTTTATTTACTTCGTCATGTGATTGGCTAGAAACTCGCGCCACTTTCCCAACCAATCAGATACAAAGCTAAACCAATAGTGAGCTGGTCTCTCTTTACCTTGACTTCTCATTGGCCCGAAGAGTAATATCCTTTCTTCTGATTGGCCGTTGTGATTACTCTGGTTTTGGTTTTACCACACTCGATCAAAAACCGCTCTTCTTTAGCATCGATGCTCAGAGGAACGTTCTGCTATCACCTTTTATTTCTGAGCGAGTGTGTCCTCTCTCGCTGACTTGTTAAGATTGCCTTCAAGTTATTTATTTTCGCACTAAATTCAAAACAGGAGGGCAATATCGAACTTAACTGTTAGTGAAAACACCAGAGAAATCACAACGACCAATCAGAAGAGAGAAAGATACCCTAAAGAGCCAATGAAAACTCTAAGTAAAAACCAAACTGCCTAAAGCGCCTGAAAACGGGAGCGAGCAAGTCGTGGTTTGTTTTACCTCCTTAATTAAGTGGTTAAGAAGGTGGCGCGAGTTTTCCAAAACTGCAATTTGGGCAAAGAAAGAGACAAAGAATATGGAATATTTACAAACAGTTACACTATGTATTGATTCAATCCATGGGTAATAAAATACAGACATGCTACAACTAACCTTCATAAGTGTATGAGCAAAATGAGAAACTGAAGGATGATAATGTCTGAAAAGCCTATTGAGTTCTCGTAGACAAGAGTTTTCCGCCACGCTGCACAGCGGTTTTCTCCAGGAGGGCTCATAGGTTTGACTCTTCTGAGCCTCGTTCATACGTGTTTAAGTCTTTGGGGTTTTGCTGCGTCAACGTGGCGTAGTTGTGGCTCTTTTCTGGCTGATGAAACCGCGGTCGAAGTTTTGTCTTCACCATCTTCCAACGGGGACGTCCACAAAATATTCTTCATCGTCTTCCTTCTGCGGTTATCGTGAATTACAAAATTAGTTTTGAAGGCCAAAATCGACGAGCAACTTGTTTTCTATCTTTTTGCCGGAACAAGAAAAAAAGTCAGTCAACCCTTTTTTATTCTACTTCATGATAACAAACTTTCTCTTCTTTACGAATGAATCTTTAAAACGGTCTGCATTATCTTTGAAGTAATGGTGACATTTCTCTCTCAAAGTTATATTTCGTCTCCATGCCCCGCCCTTTCAAATATGAAACAAACAAAAATCATAACAAACGTTTAAAAAAACGATAACAACAACAATATCAACCGTAACGAAAAACAGCAAGAGCTATTTATTTCATTGTTGACCTCTACATCCAAATCACACGATGATGTTAAAAGGCACAAAAAAAGAAAGGCAAAAATAACTGAAATTCTAAGTTGCTAGACTAACGCTTTTAAAAGCGGTTACTGTTGCCATACTCGATTACAAAGCCGATTCCTTTACAGCGTCAGCTTGGATGAAAACCATCACCGCATATTTGCACGTATGTTACGCCAAACGTACGCGCTGATCTGCACCCTTTTCAGCTCTTTCTTAGTTCTATCTGAATGGAACAGGATATAAAAAGCTTTAGGAATAAACTGGTCTACACTTAAGCAGCCCACTTAAACAATATCAACTATCGTCAAACAACATATTTCTTACAAAAAAGGTTGAATATGCTGGTATTTCATCAAATTAACACTAATCAGTTAATTAAATCAATATTTCCTGTATGTGGTTTAGGAAATGTAAAGAGGAGTTTACACATAAATTAGTTCTGAGAATTTAGATTAGAGTTTCCTTAATGGAGCCATCAGTCTAATTTTTCGACCCAACATCGATACTTGAGCTGCTTTGGCTGATCTGGTTGATCTCTGATCTGCTATCACGCGTATTCACATTGGCTAACTGTGTATTCTTACGAACGTACGCAGTGATCTGAGCCCCTATGAGCTCTTTCTTATTTTTTTCAGGATGGAACAAGATAATGAAAGCTTTAGGAATAAACATGCAGCCAAGCAGGCCAAACGAATCAACTAGTATCGTGCTGCAGGCTATAACAGAAACATACCAAGCATCCTGCACTGAGAAATCCACCGAGTAATAACACAGTGCAGACAACAAAATTATGTAAAGCGAGAAGCCGATGAAGCGCGCCTCGTTGAAATTATCTGGCACTTTGCGAACTTTGAATGCATAAAAAGACGAAAGAAATGAAAGCAACAACACATACGAACAGACCATGAAATAAAACGCTTTTCCGACCGACGACCCGTACAGTTTACACGTGTAGAAGATGAATTGGGTCGGTTGTATCTTCTCCTTTCTGTATGGCGGATCCGAAGCGAACCACGCGGTTAACAGCACGATGTCGACAATGTTCACCAGAGCAACCAAACCGACTTGGTATTTCACTCTTGAAATGTAACTTTGGAAGGGCATTTCTGAACTGTCGACTTGGAAAACGACGAAAATGCGAACTGACTTCAGCCACAATATGGATACAAAAGTGGTGTAGATTGCGTACCGGGAAAACTGAATCAAGCGACAAATAGAATCAGTTGGCTTTGTAATGCTTAACAGCGCCAGAGTAAAACTGGAGAAGATCGCAGCAAGAAGGAGAAAACTGAGCTGTCTATTCGAGGCTTTCACAATTGGTGTCTCGCGGTATTTCACAAACACAAGTAACATAGCCACGGTCATGCAAAATCCTAACGCTGTCACGCAAGAAAGGAATACA